TGGATATTATCATATACCATAATAGATTCGATTGTAAAATAATCTTCATAAATTTTTATTAGAACATTTTAGTTGGTTAAAGACCAACTTACACAGGAATCCGAAGTAGCAAAAGATACAAGCTCTTAACACAATAAAAAGAAAAGAAGTAAAACAAAGTTTTGCTTGACATGCTCTTAGATTAGTGTTGGTGAAAGAGACCATGAAATGATAACTCTTGTCTCCCTACTTTTATATTGGAAATACTTTTTTTTCCTTTTCCTTTTGGGATATAATATATAACTATATTTTATATTCATCTGCATATTGTCGAAGGAGAGAATCATTTCCACTCTTTTTAATGGATAACATTATCATAATCATAGTAGTGGGAAAATATCGTGTGATACATATATATGTATTAATAATATACTATGACCATCATGATCATCACTTAACACATGCCCATCGAACCAAATATGGAGATATTACTTTCCTTATTTTACTTCCACTTGTGGTAAAAGTCAATTAATCAGTCTCATCAAAGTATTTAAGAATATTCATTATAAATTTTTTAGTTAATTAGCTCAATATTACTTTTATGATCTATAATTAAGAAATTAACATATCAAAAAAATTTTTAGGTAACTAAAAAAGAGAAATACAAATATGACAAAATTGTCCTTTAACAATTAAGGTAAATATACATTAAAAATAAATATGACAATTAAGGTAAATAGACATTAAAAATTCTCTACGAATATTCTCTTGACTCCAAAACGTAGATCTATCTTTTGTTTTCTGCATGACTGCTCCGAAAAAAAAAAATTAGAAGATGACAAAAATAAACAAATATCTTGTAAGAGTTAATTATTTAATATTATAGTTAACTATTTCCAAAACATCACATAGTTAACTATTTTCGAAACATTTTAAAACATAGTTAACTACATCATATCATTTGTGACTATCTAAAACATAGGTAGCTAGTTTCAAAAAATAATTACCAATTTTAAAAACATAGTTCACTATTTTACGGACATAGTTATATAATCTACTGATTTCAAGACATAATTGACTACATAAAAAATGTTGTAATATTTAGTTATTTAAACAAACATAGTTAACTAGTTCAACACACAATTATCTATTATAATAAAAAAATAACATACATAGTTGACTATTACCAGAAACATAGTTACCTACTAAATAACCATACTTAGTAAACTATTATGAGAAACATAATTACATTTTGAACATAGTTAACTATGTTAATCTTGATCAAGAGATGGGTGATGATGGAGAAATTAATGGAGGAGAAAAAACACCATCTTAATCCATGATTGAAAATTTCGATATATGATAATGAGTTAAAGGAAAGGTAATTAAGAGAGAAGAAGAAGAAGCAAATTGCGAAAATTGAATATTAAGAAAAAAAATGAAGAGAAAAATAAGAATAAGAAGGAGGAAGAGGCAGCGGCGGTTATAAGAGAAAAGAAAGAGGCGACGGCGGCGACAGTTAGAGGGGAAAGCAAGAAAGAGGAGACAGCCCATGAGAGAAGGAAATAATAAAAAGAAGAAGACAACGGCGAGAAAAAAAAAGATGAAAAGAAGAAAGATTATGTTTTTTTTTATGTCAAAGTAATAAAAGAAAAATAAAAAACATGAGTATATAAACTAAGACTAATTTTGGAATTTCAAATATACTAATTGTTAGACACCTAATTAATAATTAGATCATATTAAATGATCAATTATATATACCAAACATAATATACATACTTATTTCTTTAATTTTTTTCCCGATGAAATTAAATTTTGATTATTCGCCCATACTATTAGTGATTTACGTGTTGTTCGTTAACACCAAAAGTAAGGACAAGGTACAAAACTATGCTTAGTAGTGAATCTAGTGTTAGGTTTGATAAAAAAAAAAAAAAAATTGACGTGATAGGTTTAGGTTTAATAATGGAAAAAGAGATTCCATAAAAACTTTCAATGTATTGGTGGGAAAAGTTTGGTTACCTGCCTCTTTTGCTGACCATCGAATCCACTTCTCATTGACTCCATGCATCTATAATTTGTTTATACCCATAATATACTTACCCTTTTATATGCACAAAAATGAAAAAAAATGGTGCTCTTTGTCAAAAAATAAAGAGAAGAAAAAAATGGTGTTAGAAGAAGCATTCGTTCCCGCTCTTTTCGGTGGAATCGACTTTTCTTGGATAAAGACAAGAAATTTTGTTTTATTCCAATAAAATCCGAAGAAGAAAACAAAAGACTTTAAAAGAGTTGAAACTATATAATGTGAGTAAGTGAGACCAAAGTCAGTAAACTACGATATTGGTCTTCCACCAAATCCTTACGGCCAAAGAAGAAAAAAAGAAAAAGAACAAATGATATATGAATATTTAAGAAGATAAACGCTCTTAAATGATTTCAATTTCGTTTCATGTACATCAACTTTAAAAAAAAAATGTAAGCAAAAGTATAAGAATGATTTGCCACAAAAAAAAACCGAGTTAAGGTTATACTATTGGACGTATTTAGTACGTTTTGTGACAACTTTTTTTTTGTGACACAACTTGTCTCAAAACACTTTTGTTGATATATTTTCTACATTTAACAGAATCATAATTTGACATTGAATTTTGACAATAAACGAAAAAAAACATTCACCGACTATTTAAATGATCGTTGATTTTGTGAAAATCTAACATAACTACATTTACTTTGAAATTGAGTTGTGAGATGTTTTGTTTTATTTTATTGGTGAATTGCAAGAATAACTAATAAAAAAATATAATAATTCACAAACTAACTAAAACTAGCCTATATTACTTAATCAAATCAATTAGAATTAGGGTAAATGGTTAGATTTTAAATTATAATTTTTTTTAGTGTTATTAAGCCTAATTTCCCTTATTTTATTTATAGTTATATTATTACTGATAAAAAACAATTTTGTTATATTTTACTCGTTGTATAAATAAAGTGGTGTTAGTTGAGAGATAATGTTGTAAATCATGTGCTATCATTTAATTTATTTTAATTCTTTTTAGTGATTTGATTAAATTATTGAAAACTCGAAAGAAAGATACCTGAAAAAAGCTCGATCTGCTTTTTTATAAGCAGTCCAATATAACTTCTACTAATTTATAAGTCCT